CATTAATCTCAATTCAGTGGACTTGCACTCCAAACAAACAGACACAGAGAACCTCAACAAGATTAAAGGATAAGACTAGATTTATTGAATTGCTTTATTGGTATCAACAAATCCCCAAAAGAGATAACAGCCAACAGCGAATTCATCCTACTAACAAACAGCAGGAAGCATGTGTGCTTCACATAAACAGGCTGGCTTTGTTCATCGCATCTATCACTGAAAGGATGAGGAAAGGCAGTATCCATCCGATATTAAGAAACCAAAGACACATTTCTACCTTGAAAGATAAAATGGAGTTTTACACTCTGCTGTCGCTGCTAAATTCAGTCCGTCCCTGAAGAAGTGTTTAGCAGCAGAGTATGAATATCCTGCTGATTATTCCCCCACAATGTCAGGCAACAAGTGAGCGTATGTGAGAGAAACTCTGAAGGGAATCCTAAACAGCAACAGTTTTAATTGTTTTGTAGACTTGGAATGACATTTTGGACGTGCTCTAACATGTTTACATTTCCACAGGGGCAAAAGCGACCTAAATGATTTACAACATCATGGGAGTCCATGTTTTGTGCCCAGAAGTCTCTCTGGCACTAGCACGCTACTGAGACAATCCCCTCTGGCGATTAATCGCTGCAATCGAGCCAATGTGTTTCTTCAGCACAACAGCGCCATTGTCTTCAACGCCTGGCTTTCATTTTGACACACATGTAGTATTCACAAATATCCATACTTCACCATCTTCTCCATCCCCATTTATGACCAACTCATACATAATAATTTGAGCTTTCCACAAACCTCCAATCCAAACACACAAACCATGTTTCTGAGAATAAAGTGAGTCAAAAAAAAAAGTTACTTACATTTTTATGGATTTGTGGAAAACGGGAGCAGAGGTAGAAAACAGATGCCAAATATCCACATACATAACCAGTGATTTCCACTGACTTGGAGCTGGCTGGACTCTGGGTAAGATAACAGTGAAATAAAGAGAAAAGAGTTCATGCTGCACCTACGGAAGAGTGGGTAATCTCAAGTGGAAAGGTGTTTGCGTCCTACCTGAGTGTTTAAATGTGAACCGTTGTCTATAATGAGCTTGGGTAAAGCCAGGAGTGCTAATGTCCCAGCGCCACACCACATGAAGCACACCCACTTCAGCGCGGGATTTTCTAAACGACAAACACACACAAACTCAGTAACAAACGTATCCAGCAACAACAAAAACAGTACCTGTAGGTTCAGTCTTGCTTAGGCAACAGTATAATTAAGATTACTACCCAATGAAGTTTGCAGAGCAGTGCAAATCAGATAAGGGCAGCACGACAGATGTTTACACTGACTACACAAACATTATGTAGGAGTAGGATGATAACTGGATATAAATAACTTGAATAACTATTGTATAATATTAAACCCTACTCTACACCCCTGCAAGGTTTTATCACAACTCATTCAAAACTTTTGGAGCTATAAATAAGACACACGGAAACATTACCAAAAACACAACCTCCTTGGTGGAGGTGATTAGACATTCACCCCATTTTTCCATTAGCACTGCCTGAATTCTTACACATTGTTAGACACTATAGGATCACACAGTTGCTGAAGATTTGTCTGCTGCATGACCACGATGCGATTGTCCAGTTTTATTGAGCCTATGTAAACTGTGTCCTCGGTTTCCTGTTCTTAGCTCTGTACTCGGTGTGGTCTTCTGCTGCTGCAGCACATGTGCGTCAAGGTGAAATGTGCTGTGCATTCAGAGATGCTCTTCTGCATGTGTTGTTTGTAATGTGGTTATTTTATTTGTCTTCTTATGTACTCGAAACAATCTCTTTTATCCATTCATCTGCTGCTCACTGGATACTTTCTGTTTTTTGGACCATTCTCTATAAACCCCTGAGATGGTTGTGATGGAAAATGCTACATAACAAGTGCACAAAAGTCTTGCGTTACCCATCACTTCTTTATGTTATAAGACTTTTGCACAGTGCTGTATTTAAACCAGGCATCATGCTTTGCCAGAGGTTTAACCTAAGAGCAGAGACGGTGTCAGGACTCACTTCTGCTGGAGCTGTTTTTGATCTTATAGTAGAGAAACTGGGAGACGAGAATCAAGTCAGTGAAGATGTAAAACACCACTGTGACAACCTGAGAGTGGGACAAATCAAGAGAGAGAAATGTCAAGTAAAATGGAAAAAAAATCAGTATCAGGATAATGACTATCCCTTCAAAATCTTGATAGAGATTCACACTGCACAGCCAGCAGACCTCAACCAGCCAGGCTGAGTTGTCTGTGTTCACCTGAATGGGCAGCTGGCTAGTGAGATAGCATCCAGCGAAGCTGGTCAGGTCTCCACTGAGGAGGAAGACGAGAAACCCAAAAGACATGGCCTCCTCCACTTTTCCATTCCGATAGGCCTCATAGACCTGCCTGGAAAGACCCAGCAAGTCAGATTAAAGACAAATATAAGACGTTAACATTTCTGACTGGCTGAGCTGGTTGCACGATAAGCCGACAATAACCAAAGTAATTACTCACGGTATCGTGGACAACAAAAAACAGAACATGGATATGAGTCCTATCACAACACTGCAGTACTCCCAGATGTTGTCCACACATTCCTCAAGCAGGTAAAGGATCCATGGTGTCCCGTTGACACACAGCGGTCTGCCCTGAGATGGAGCAGTCCAGTTGTTGATGGCCACATCTGCACTCTTGCCTGGAAAACGCCCGCTGGCCATGAGGAGAGACTGATTTCCTCTACCTCCTCCTCCTTTTCCTCCTACTTCAACTTTCTAAGTAGCCTGGGTGTGTTTTTGTTTTGTCAACAAAGCTAAAGCCTGGAGAAAGCAGATTTATGTGGCACCACTACCTGCCTGTACAAACAGACTTCTTATGTCATTTCTCGAGTCTGAAAGACAGAAAAATAAAACAGACAGTGAGCAAAACGAACAAAGAAAACTGTGGAAGGTACAGAGGAAAGAACATAAAGGGTTAGGTCCATCCCAAATCAGTAATTACGTCTACATTTTAAAAAATACGTCAGTAAGCGATAAGTTTGCTCATGGTGCACGCTCAGTCTGGCCTACCCACGCTCACAGCTGTCCAGAGAGCCACTTGTGGTGTTTATGTGGACGCAATCATGCTTCAGGCTAATTTAAATGGATTTGGAAGAGATGCTAACAAACAAACAAACATACAAAAAACATAATTAAGTTCAGTGACCGCTCACCTGACTAAAACGGACTCGTAAAAGACTCCAGGCTGTTTGCTAGTTTGTACAAACTTCACCAGCATCCTCACACGTTCAAGCCCTTTGAAAAAGATTACGGATAGCTTCTCCGTCCACCATCAGCGGTCTCCTGTGTGAAGCGGGCCAGGATAAGATGCAACATCCGGTGCGAATTCAAAGTAAAATCCTCTTTGAGGACAATTTAATACTGTTTGAGAAATTTACAATATAATGCCAGGCTATTTATTAATTTAAAAATAATATCTCTTTTTTTGTAAACTGGGATACTTAATTTGTATATATTTATGTAGAAAACATTTTTTCAAAGTTGTACCCAGGTACGTATTTACGAAAACAATATACGTTATAGCAAAAGTCATGTGTGTTTTTATTTCAATGCCACAGTAGAATGTATTTTCGTGTATAATATACAAATACATATTTTTGACGTTAATAGTTCCCATTCATTTCTCATGTACTTCATTCACGTATCGCTCCATGAAGTAGACAAAATCATGTGCTTTTATTTTGAAGGCACCGCAAAATGAAGTCTCACGCCGGACGCGATGCCTGGGAAAATACCACCATCTACTGACCAGAGCAATGAATGAATGACGTCAATACAGTGAAAAACTATATCGCCTTTGCTACAAGCCTTTTCCCCTCTACGGAAGCGTAGAGCTGCCACCCAGGCAAGCGTGAAAGTTTTTATAACGTGAAAAGTTTATTGTTCTAACAAGATACTTTTCCTGTTTGTACAATATGCTATCATGTTTGTACAATATACTTTTCACGTTTGAACAACATAATATCAACAATAACGTGATATTATGTTGTTCAAACGTGAAAAGTATATTGTACAAACAGGAAAAGTATCTTGTTAGAACAATAAACTTTTCACGTTAAACGTGATACACTTGTATTTTTCTTTTGCCTGGGTGGCAGCTCTACGCTTCCGTACTTTTCTTCCTTATTACATTTTTATATTATCAAAAACTAATGTAAACACCAGCATATACAATACAACCATCATCACACAACTAATAATAACCCACCTGTAATAACAGCAATAATATGCTGTAATATGTTTCAGTTGAAGTACAATTTGGCACTTAATTTCTAATCCGATATGGGCATTTCAGATTAGTTTTTATTGCTTGAAAGTGTTGAATTGTAGTTTAGTTTCTGTTATTTTCAGTCTCAATTTTAGTATTTACTTTTATTGTATGAATCAGAATCAGAATGAGAATCAGTACAGGTGTTACAAGATTTTATTTTTTTATTTTTTTAGCCAAACTAACTGATGTGTCCTCTATATTTTTTTATAGTTAGTTTTTCAAGTTCACTAAATAATTTTATTAGTTTTATTTGTTTTTCAAAAGTCTAGTTTTTATCTTTATTTTAGTTAACTGAAAAGATTTGTTCACATTTAGTTTTAGTGTTTAGTTTTATTTAACTATAATAACCTTGGCCATGCCTGACGCTTGAAAACCATATGATTTCTTTGTTTTGTTTTGTTTCGTTTTTGCATTATTTTATTTTTAATTTTTTTTAAATGAACCATTGGGTTAACTAATCGTGTCACAAAAAGCGAGTCCTGTTTAAAGATCGCTTTAACCACTGAAGCTGAGTTTGAAATAATCTCCATATTTTTCCGAGGGCTTCTGAACGCAGCGTCCTCACCTGTCCCTCCCTCCATACACCTGTTGCTCCGCGCAATCCGATCGGCCGCAAGATGGCGCGCTTTCCCATGGTGACCGAGGAGGACGACAGTGAGGGTTGCTCTGAGAGAGGACCTGGATCTGCGCAGGGCTTTTTTTTTATTTGTGTTGCTATGTGAGGCTTTGGAGCGCGGTTTGAAGATACTGAGCGAGGATCCACATTCAGCGTCCGCGTGCTGTCGACGTGCTGCGTGGAGCAGGTAAGCTGTCCGAGTCCGTGGGTGTTTGGAAACGAAGCGGGCTGCTGGGAGGGGGGTTTCTTGTTGCATGCTCTCTGTCATAAGAGACGGGAATATGTCACCCACATTCCTTGATGTCGGGAAAGTTGACTGCACGAGTTGAAAGCAGTGGATGCACCACACACTTTCTGGTCGCCCACTAAGCCGACTTTTTTCCTGTCTTTACTGAGGATACCCCAGAATCCATGACGCCACAGATAAAGATACCCTAAACCCGGGGGAGCGTGCAAGTGGATATGAGAGGTGTTTTCCTGGGCTGTCGCGCGTAAACACTCACAGTAATTCCGGGCTAAATGCGTGATCATTTTGGGGGGAGGTAGTGTATCCTGGAAGGACGCGTGGCACCTCATCTTTTGAACATTTTGAACATTTTTTGATGTCACAGAGTAGTCATTTGTGCCTCTCTGTTTCTCAGGGTAACATGCAAAGGAATGTGCTCCCGGAGCTTGAAAGGCAAGTTCAGTGGCATTACTCACATTTAGTCTGTGCATTTCTACCCCTAATCCCGCGCTCAAATCCAGATCTATACTGTTGCTTCACTTGTATTTGTGTGAGAATACAGACGGTATGTGTGTGTGTGTGTGTGTGTGTGTGTGTGT